CAAGGTTGTTGTGAAGCCGATTTCAGGATTTGTTCGTACTGTTTGTTCCCAGTTGTTGTGACAAGTTTGGAACAAATTGTTATCACCTTGTTACAAGGTTGATGTTACAAGGCTACAAGTTATTCCAACAAAGACTAATATAGGCTGAGCTTGTTGTCATTAACTTGTTAACAACTTGTGACGTGCAGAGGATATCAGACTTGTTGGAACAGCTGTTGCTAGTCTGTTGGCTTCAGCATCAACCTTGTTACAAGATGATCCCAACTTGTTCAATACTTGTCAACAACTGGGAACAAGCAATGCGAACACTTATCTGTCTGTCTATCTTGTTGACAAGCTGAGAGATTTTACTCGTACGTGTAGGTATTGCATGGAACTAAGCTAACCAAGCATTTAAATTATAGATGCAAGTGAATTGGGTGGCAACGTTTATAAACACGTATTAATTAGTGGAGACCTCTACACAGATATGTATGGCGGGTGATGTGTGTCAAAATTCAATAACACATTTGGCAATGATAACGTAACATTTTGCTACAATAATAACACATTTGGCAACGATAAAGTAACCTTTTGCTACAATTTTGTGGCGGTTACAAGACATTTATTAACAATAACAAAACATTCAATGACAAAGTATTATTTTGCAACAACATAAACGTATCGTTTTAATATTTGCCAACAATCGTACATTTGGCAAGTACAATCCCGTGATGCAGTTGGGCACTAGCTCCGATGGCGCGAAAACGGTGCATAAATGGCGCGTAATTATTTTCACACAAAATGGCGATCAAGATATCGAAGAAAACGGAGTACGAACTGCTCTTATAACGCGTTATTGACTGATGTAACGGAATGCCTTTCAACAGAGCTTGATGATGTTATTGATCGTATTCGCGATTTTTCTGAAGACCTTTATCGATGCATAGCAAATCTGACAGCACGAAATCCCGAAATTTAAAGCGAATTGCTACATCAGGCCAGACTTCTCGTAGATGTCATACAACGTCCTATTTTGAATAATGAAAATTACGGAAACATGGGAATCATCCTAAGGTCAATGCCAGGTAGACCAAAATTTGAAATTTTGAGAGACCAGCTGCAGTATTCACAGATGTATTTTGTGGTGAATTGGCCACACCATCCAGTAGCTGTACAATTATATATCTAGCCTGTAGTAGAGATGACTGAATATCATCTGACGCCGAAGCTTGTCTCATTTTCCGCCATGTTGACTTAAAAAAGCACATATAATCCAATATCGCGAAAATAATTACGCGCCATTTATCACCGTTTTCGCCCCATTTGGAGCTAGTGCCAATCTCGTTCCCAGAGTATGCCTGTTCGCGGGTTAGGTTGTGGCATGACTCTGGGGAAATCGAATCGAAATCGTTATTTGATTGGCTGCCGTGTCATCAATGCTGCCGACACAATTATGCGTGTTTTTTGCGAGAATTACGCGTGAAAATACGCGAAGAGAGAATTATCAATGTTTATCAAATTTGGAATGCGAAATCAAACAATATAAATCGAAGGATATAATATTAATCGTATGAAAAAGTATTGGAACGTTGGGTATATACTTACAAAATGGCATGTTATTTATGAATGACTTTTTATCGATCTACAGTATGAGTATATTCATTATAACCATGAAAGAATTGGCTGAATGAAATCATCGCACACGTTGTCGTTGTTTTGTTAAATTGACATATTGTTGCGAGGACTTTGGAGTGACAGCTTTTGCTTGTGTTAAAAACTTGAAGCTTTAAACAATACAGTACATTATGGTCAACACTCAACATGTTGTAGTCTGTGGTCTTTGCGCTTTTGTAAATGGAGTTATCTATATAAATTTAAGATGCCAGGTGTTTTTGTAGCATCTGTATAAATTATAGAATAATTGATTTAAGAAGTTTCTCAGGTTGTAAAACATTTGGTTATAGACTTGCTTTGTAAATGATTGCCACTTGACAGCATGATGGGCTATTCCATTTAATATCGGTACACCCCCTGTCGAGGATACATGTTTTTCATGGTTATACCCCAGAAGAATTCCAAACTCAAAACCTTCTACCCCTGAAGAATTCCAAGCTCAAAACCCTTTACTCCTGAAGAATTCCTAGCTCAAAACCTTTTACCCCGGATGAATTCCAAACTCGAAACACTTTACCCCCGAAGAATTCCAAGTTCAAAACACTTTACCGCTGAAGAATTCCAAGCTCAAAACCCTTTACCCCTGAAGAATTCCAGGGATCCCTGACAGGGGGTGTGGATATTAAATGGAATAGCCCGATGTAAGGCTATAACTAAGCCAAACCTGAAACAATTTTTGCATCAATTTGTGTCTGGATAAAAAATAAGTAGTGAATTTAAATACAGATGTTTCCTTGTCTGTTGCTATGTGAAACAATGTTGTTTATAGCAATAAGAGTTATTGTTGATCAATAACAATGCTCATTTGCTAAAAATATAGAAGTATTGATTCCATTTCCAAACTATTATACTATGTGAATATATTGGCAATTAATCCAATTATATATAAATAACTACTTTAATTTCTGTATCAAGCCTCCTGGGTATTATTGTTTCCTAAGCATCATTGAGGGGGCACTTGTTCTAAATATATGCAATAAGTCTGGTTACCATTAATTAAAAAATGTCCATACTCAGAGTTACAGTTGTACTATGTTTTATTAAAATACTACAGAAATGCAATATATTTCATGATTTTAAGAATTAATTGAATGGGGACTGCATGGTTAAAAGAGGAGGGGGGCTTATTTATTTTTGTATCCAAATGAGGGGGGGGGGTATTTATTTTTGTATCCAAATGAGGGGGGGAGGTTATTGGAGAGGGGCTTGAAGAGAAGGGGGCTAAATATAGAAATTACAGTACCTGCATTCCTTCCTCTCCCTTCCCAAACATCTGCAGGAGAGGGGGCAACTGCAGGGGTTAAAGCATGGATTGCAAGGTTGATGTATAATTTGCATGTTATGTACCTGGTAGTATGGAGTAATGAGCTAGTAAATATATCCTTGCCTATAATTAGTTGCTGATTAAATGTTCAAAGATACACAGTGTGAAGCATGAAAAACAAATGGAAGATACCCACTGCAACAAATTTTCAACAAATATATATGGATTTGTTCACTTCATTTACTTTCAACACAAGTAATTATAGTAATTATAATTACAAACACAATGTACTGTCATTTAAATTTTAAAAACTTCATATGCGCTCCATGTATATATGTTAATGTAATATAATATAAAAAATGTGTTTATTGGGTCGTTCCAGAAAAGATCCACAGTCCCCCCACAGAGGAAATTTCTGCCGTCCGGAGGGGGAGATAACATTGTTTCTGATAATAGTAAATGTATTAGGACATCCAAAGGGGGTAGGGGGTTAACTTCCAATTTCCTCTGTGGGGGTGGTATGGATGTTTTCTGGAATGACCCATTGCTAAAATATGTGATAAATAATACCGTAAACCTCTGACTATAAGCCCTGGTCTTATATTCTTTTGTAAGCGATTTTTGATGGGCTTAGGGGGGGGGGGCTTATATGCACGGGGGCCTTATACATGGACGATCAATTGTGTTAGTAATAAACAAGTCAGTCATAAACAGGAAAATAAACATGTATTAATAACACACTTCGATTAACATAGTAAGCTATAAAGACAATGACAGTGTTTTTAATATCGTTCTCTGCTATATTAAAAGACAATGTCAACGTTAAATAACATATACTGGGATTATATTCAGGGAACTTATATTCAGGGGGGCTTATATTTGGGGGGGGGGCATATATGTGGAATGAGGTGAGCATTATATTCAGAGGTTTACAGTATACAGTTGAAAAAAGCTTGTATTTTCTTGTCATAGACACACATTTCTGGGTGCATATAGAACAGCTTATACGTTGGGTTCTCATGTGGATCCAATGGTAATTTGATATCGCTGCCATCACCAAATATAGTATAGTGTAGCACAGAATGGACTTGTTACCCTTGTATCATAATCATACTTTGACATGCATGCAGAAATGCCTTGGTCATTCATGTGGAGATATGACTATCACGATAGAATTAGTTACGCCAAGTAACATGTCGTACACGTCAGGTAGCAGCTGAAATATTTTAATATTTGCCATAATAAGCCCATAACCTGTTGGCAAAACAACCAAAACATCTTCACCATTTTACAATGGCCGAGGCACATTTGAATGTCTCGTCTTTTAACGAATATTCAAGCTCTCTTTTCGCTAGAACAGCTTTCATAGCTCTTTCAATATTTGCCATTGAATATAATTTAATAGTAGTACGATTTAAAGCACCTCTAAACGTATAAAAAACCATTTTGTATACTATATTCTGATGAGAATCTGTTCAACAAATATATCGATTGTGATCGTGTGCCCGCGCGAATTTAGTAAGCGGAATAAACATAAGCAATAAAAGCGCATGCGCCATTTATCTCATTTTGGATAAAATAAATTCGATTTCCCCAGAGTCATGCCACAACCTAACCCGCGAACAGGCATACTCTGGGAACGAGATTGTGTCC